TGGGCTAAGAAACACTCACTGTCAGAAGTTAGAAATGTTTATGTAATTTTATAGTGCATATATAAAATTAAAAAAAAAAAAGTGTTTTGTCAGCAAAGCCAAAACTTCACTTCATAAGGGGAGGTGACGGGGACTGCTATCTACCATGTATTCAGGCGAGTCTCTTGCTCCCTGGGAGTTTCCCAAAGGGTAAGTTCAGTCATTATATGGAATTTTAAAAGTGTACTATATATGTATCCAGCATACTAGGTCTTGCTGCTAACCAGTCTCTAGATGTTACAGAAGCCTTATAAACAGGCCTCCTGTGCAATATGGATCTCTTCATTAAAACTAAGTGTTTATGCCCACATCAGCTCTAATGTTATTAAGATGCTCAAGCTACAATCTAGCCTTACCTTTTCATATTTCTCCTTCAGTTTAGCTGCCTTATTATTGTAAGGCTGCTTTTCACCATCACTGAGGTTGTTCCACATTTCACCAAGTTTCTTTGCTACATCCCCAATAGATATGCCAGGATTTGTGGATTTGATCTTGGGACGGAATTCTGAACAGAACAGGAAGAAGCCAGACCTTGGAGAAAAGTTTCATATTAAAATGAGCATCTCAGAATCTGAAACTGAAGATTAGAACTGAGCAAGACTTCCAGCTCTTTCAATCATCAATTCACCCAAATGATTCACAAGACTGGAGACTATCCAAACAGCTAGTGTCTCTGAGTAAGGGGAAGATGTGTTTAAAACAAAAAACAAAGAGATATCTGGGTTTGCTTATGGACCAGGCTTGCAAAGCATTATATAATAATGAAAAAAAAAGGAGTGTTGGAAAAAATGTGCAAGATTTTAAATTTGCATTATTTGAGGCAGAGTGTTTTAGATGCCAATTTGTCACTTCCTTCCTCTTATTACTTTAGATTTAGTTGACAGAAGATATGAGTTTTGCAACTGTCCAGCTATTTTAGTCACGTTATTTAATGCTCCGCAAGTTGAGGATTTCAGCTGTCAGAAAGTTTATAAACGGGTATAAACGGGTACTAATCAACCTATTTCACATTATTACAATTCTAGTAATGATCAGGTGTTCAATTTTCACCTAGAGAAAGCTACAACAGCTAATTTTGAGTTGAGCTATTCATATGTAACAGCATTGTGAGAAAGTTACTTACGGTGGCCGTTTTGGGGCATTAGGATCCTTCTTCTTCTTGCCACCCTTAGCTGGTCCATAATCCTTCATTTCCCTATCATATCGTACCTTGTCGGCTTTTGCCATTTCATCAAATTTGGACTTCTCTTTGCCTGACATGGTCTGAAAGAAGACACACAGTAGATGAGCACTCAAGTTACCGAGTTTCCCTTTTCAGTTGGAGGTACATACTTTGTCTTCACTGGACTGAGGCCACCTTGGAGGACAAGGATTCACATCAAAGCTCACTGTCACAAATGGCAGTCTCAGCAAGGGCCAATAACTGAATTGGCCTAAAGCCTCCTCCTTCTACAGTTAGGCTATTAAAATAGCAGGAGGTGGCCTCTTGGTAGAGGTGTGCAGGAAAAGAAAGGAAGTGTGTATGGTGGAGAGAGAACCTAAGTTTCCAATGCAGTCTGAACTTTCCCGATCCCTAGAAATCAGAGACAAAATTAAGAATGGGATATGGGTTGAAAAGAAAGTCAATACCTGATTTAAACAAGTGTCACAAGAAGTTACCATTCTAGAAAGACAGCTGTCACTTCAAGAAAGTAATGAATTAAAGTACCTTCCACCTTTCTGAGCACTTCTTGGAAAACTCTGCAAAGTTGACCGGAACCTCTGGGTTCTTCTTCTTATGTTCTTCACGGCATGTCTGCACAAAGAAAGCATAAGCAGACATCTTGCCCTTAGGCTTCTTCGGGTCACCTTTAGCCATCTTGTCTCTAAGGAGGAGAAAGATAAAAATCACAGATATAAACTGTTCTATTAAGTAAACGCTCAGGTTGAATACGGACAGAACCAAGTGGTGCTGCCTCAAGAGTTGGGTCACAGGTGTAAGCAGTATGTCATTATAGAGAGATTTAAATGTTTTTTAATAATTGGTCTTAATTTTTTATAATTTTATTTATAAATATACATAAGATATTTATTTGAAGTTGGCTGCCACATTAGAGCTTGAACAGACTGCATAATGCCAGTCTGAGAGTTATTCCTTCAGGAGAGCTAGAGTACACATGTAAGTAGCTGTCACCCAACGGGAAAGGTTCCACTGATTTTTTCCCCTGGTATAAATCCAATAATTTTGGTTACAAAGGTGTGCAAATAAGGGCCAGTTTTAAACACATCACCTGCCAACCTCTGCAAAACTAGAAGGATTTGCTTTTGCTCCACCAAGTGACATGGTTTAGAGGTGTCGTGGTCAGCGCAAGGATGTGTTTAGCAAGTTACCAGTGCTAACTTTTGGGTGGTGTTTAAAAAAACATTTTTTTTTAATTTTTCCAGCCTCCTGCAGTAATATTTTCCATGTGCAGCCTTTTAAGAGTTTGAAATTTTAATTTTTATTGGACTAACATTAATATTTAATTGTGCATCCTAATCCCACATGGGCAATAAAACTGGATTTCCAGAATCATTCCCATTCCCACCCCACCCCCCCATTCTGTAAATTGCTACAGACAGACATTTTCATCCCCTCTAAACAAACACCTTTAAAAAAAAATTGTGGGGAGAAAAAAAAAAATCCCGTTTCGGTCACATATTAAGAGGCAGCAAATCTGTTTGCAAAGTTTCAGATTAAAAGGCAGGGTTGGTTTAGGTTTTTAATCCCCCTTCTTTGCTTCCCGCCATCTTCCACCCCCCCTTTGCCAAGGTCACAGCAAAAATAGAGAACCCCCCCTTTTTGCATATTGCCCTGGGCAAGGGGCATTTGCGGCTGCTGCGAATGGGGCCAGTGCAGCCTGGATGTGCCCAGCTCAGCAGCGCGCTCCTTTGCTTGAGACTCCAGTGGAAGGAGGGGAGAGAGAGGGGGAAAAAAAAAAAAACGACAGGTCACCAAGACACCAATAATTCATCTTCCATTTTGTGAAATGCTTCTTCATGAAAGAAAGTGCCCCTGAAATGAGCCCCTGTGCTGGCCTGGGGGGTGGCCCCGGGCGGGGGGCACAGCCTGGCAGGGCTGGGGCAGAGTGTGGGGCTCTCGCCCGTGCCATAGGAGTATCTATAGCCTTGGTGCTAGGCAGGGATATAGAGAAGTGGTTGCTGTTCTCCTCGCCCATAGCCGGCTCCATTCGCTAAAATGGCTTCTCTAAGGCAGTGAGGCTGCTATGCCTAACAAAGCCGCACACCCCCCTCTGCCCAACTAACGCCTCTCCGCGGGGGCTCCCGGGCCCCCAGCCCCCCCAAAACCACCCCGCGCCCTAGAAAAACCTCCGCTCTGTCCTGCCTGGGGGGGCTGGGGGCCGTGGGGGCCGGGGCAAGGGCAGGAGAGGGGAGTTAAAGCGCCACCCCCCCCCTCCTCCCATGTCCCTGCCTAGCGCAATACTCCGTATAACAAAGACTCCCGTGCAGCCATTACAGCCCAGGCTGCGCTCAGCCGCGCCGAGGGGGAAAAGTGCAAAAAGCCCCCAAACGACCCCCAGCCACCCCACCAAGCCCAAGGGGCGATAGGGAAAAAGGAACCGGGGCGAAAGCGAAAGGTCTGGGCGCTCTGCGGGGCTCCTGAGCGGAGATTTCCCCCGCCTAGATCCCCCCTCCCGATCGCTGTGCTGCTTACACGTCTTTCTTCCTTAGCCGGAGCTCTCAAGCGCCAGCCATATTAATGCCCACAGCAGAGGGAAAGCGGCGCAAGAAAGAGGCGGCTTGGGGCTTCAGCCAGGGCACCGGGGCACGAAACCCACCTCCCCGGGCAGGGGAAGAGAAGCTGGAAGGGAAGCGAATGAATCGGGGGAGCGGGGCTAGCGGGATCGCGAGTAAAAAACTGCTTCGGCGGGGCACACGGGCGCAGCGCGCAGGGTTTATCCCTGTCAGATGCTAAAGCGACAGCCATATTAATGCAGAGTAGACAGCGGGCACAGCACTGCGCACGGCCGGCAACTTCCACCGCCGGCAGCCCCGCGGATCCCACCCGGGCCAGCGGCAGAGACGCGCCGCGCCGCGCATTTATGGCCCCAGTCACTTTAAAGGGAAAAAAAGATTCCTGCCCGGGCGGGGGAGCCCAGAGTTAGCCCCGGTGCAGTCCCTGCACCAGCCCCATCGCTCCGGGCAGCGCGACCCGGGGAAACGCTCCACACTTGGCGCGCCTAGCGGGATACTCCGCGGAGTCGGGGCACCCCTGCGGGAGCGGGGATCCGGGGGAGAAGAAGGGATTGGGGGAGGGTGCTGCGCCCCTCTCCCCGGTACCTCCCCGGCACAGCTGGAGCTGCACCCAGCCGCTGGACCCAGGCGCATTTCTTGCCGTGGGAGCGGAGAGACGGGGGAAGGGGGAAAAGTTTTTTACTAAAGCAGGGGAGGGGGGAAAGCCCGCGGAGAGGGAAGGGAGAGAGAAAAGGGAGCGGAGGAGGAAGAGAAAAGGGGGATCGGGCGCGGGGGGGAGGGGCGAGGGCAGCCGCCCCCCGAAAAGTTGCCCGGCAGAGCCGCGGCGGAGCCGAACGTACCTGTATTGTTCGCTAGTCTGGGCAGTAGCTGGAGCGCAGGGCACGACGCTGGGCTCAGCACTGCTCGGCTCAGCCTCGCGTTGGCTGCCTCCGAGAGCGGCCTGATTGGCTGCCGGGCTCCGCCGTTTAAAAGAACCTCCTCGCCCCGCCATTGGAAGGGACGCTCATGAATATGAATCACGGCCGGGCACCGATTGGCCGGCGCCGGTCCAGGTCATTCATTCAAAAGAACACCCGCCTGGGGAAGAGGAGCCGGGAGCTGGGCGGCTGGGGAAAAGTTTGCAGCGTGAGCGAGGGTGGGTTGCGGCCGCTGGCCGAGCCGGCCCGACCTCCCGCCCGTCTGCACCCACTGCCCCAGCACCCGGGCCCACGCTTCTGCCTCGGCCACATCTGCGGGACCATGGGCTTTGCTCCGCTCTCCGGTGCGCCTAGCCCCGCTCCGCTTACCCAGCATCTGCCCCCAAGTTTAAAAGTGTGTTCCCACCCTCCGGGCAGTCCCGCTTTCGGTGCATGTGCTAAGCCGCAAGGGCAGGGCAGTGCCAGGCAGCGAAAAAGCCGGAGCTGGCGGGCCAGGGGGTTGATCCGATCCTCGGTTAACTAAGGGGAAACCCAGCGTGGCTTCAAATAAATGTTCCTCACGTTGTGTGCTAAGGATCAATGACTCCGAATCCCATGTTCTGTCAACCGCGCTTTCGAGGCATCCACTTCACAGACCCTTTAATGAGTCTGCTCCCCTCCCTGCACAAAGTCCGATTGCTACGTTCTAGGGGAATCGATATGGAGCGGATCAAAAGGGAGGTCTGGAAAGACAAGATTGCCGAGGCAAAACTCCATGCCCAAGGAAAAGGGGCTTTTAGTGGCAGTGAGATCTTTACCCGCCACTGCGATGAGTGAAATACAGCAACTGGTGGGTTTAACAGCTGGGAGGAGCTCATTCTTTCTTTTGACACAATATACATTTTATACACGGAGCATACATTTGAAAATGAGATTGGACAGGAGAGAATAGCAAAATACTAAATTTAGTAAGAAATAAAGAATTCAAAGGAGGAGAAAGATTCAAAAGGGAAGATGAGAGAAATGAAGAGAAGAGGAAATAGGGACCAGAGGTAGGAGCTGACAAATAAAAGAATAGGATAGTGGAGAGAAGAGAACAGAAAAAGCATTTCAGGGGACAGGATGGAGACAACTGGCCTATAATAGCCATTTATTGGTCATTTCTGCCCCAAACCAGTAAAGGCCTGATTCTGATTTCAATGAGTCTATGTGCAGAAGAATTAGTTACTGCCCACTGTAAACAGTAACAGAACTGGGGGTCCAGAATAAACACTGATGTCATTCATTATAAATAATAGAGAAAGGAACTAAACAAGAAAAAACTGAGTTTCATCTAAATTATTCATATTACTTAGAAAAATAAAACAAACAAAAAACAAAGAATCCAAAAACTAGACCTGCTTCCACAGTTTGTTCTGTATAAAATATTCTGGGATTTAGCTTTTATTATTGGGGCATGTTGTATTTTATGAAACAGACAGCAACTTCCAGCTGAGCAATCTTAACACAGCTCTGTGACTCAGACAGGAAAAGTACCTCCTTTTGGGCTCACCTGAAAGAGAGTTTTCCTACAGAGCATCTGCCAAATGGTTAAACTGGGTACTAGTGGCCTACCGCAGGTTGGTTGGGTGAGAAAACAGATCTGTTATTTTAAGGCTGGAGTGGTATGACTCAGAAACCACTACATACAATACACTTAGAGTGGTTTTATGTGAGTGTCAAAATAAAAATAATTGATGGGATAGATGGATGGTCTTTGGGAATGACCCTGTTTCCCCACTCTTTCCCCAACATCCCCTTTTAAAGATACAATAGAACCTCAGAGTTACGAACACCAGAGTTAGGAACTGACCAGTCAACCACACACTGCATTTGGAACTGGAAGTATGCAATTACACAGCAGCAGAGACACAAAAAAAGCAAATACAGTACAGTACTGTGTTAAACATAAACTACTAAAAAAAATAAAGGAAAGGTTTTTTAAAAAAAAGATTTGACAAGATAAGGAAACTTCCTGTGTTTCATTTAAATTAAGATAGTTAAAAGCAGCATTTTTCCTTCTGCATAGTAAAGCTTAAATTCTGTCAATGTTCAACTGTAAACTTTTGAAAGAATACCCATAATGTTTTGTTCAGCATTACGAACATTTCAGAGTTACGAACAACCTCCGTTTTGTAGATGGTCGTAACTCTGAGGTTCTACTGTAATTTAACTGGTGTTATAAGCAAAGACAATAGAAATCAGAGAATTTTAGCAAAATCTACACAGAATTTCTCCCAAAACCTGCTAAATTCCATTAAAGATTTTGGCCAAAATTCTGCTTTGATTTCTCATTCAATTTTGGTTTAATTGGCCCTTTCCCTATTTCTGTGTTTTAAAACCGAAGAGCATAAGTCAAGGGAAAGGGAACCATTCATAAATGTTAACGAGTCTACTCAAGTGACCATATTTTGGAGAAACCTCACAATGTAAGGTGAACAGCACTACCACAGCAGAATCCCTTTCTAGCTGACAACACGATAAGCAACACTTTCGCCTATTGTGAAGGATAGTTACCGGCATCTCAAAACATTTTAATAATTAAGTCTTGGTTATGACAACATGAAGTTGTGGGATTTGTGTTTTGAATTTTCATGCCGCACTTTATTCCCTTCCTCACAGCCAAGGCCAGTACAGACTGGGAGCACTATGGAAGCAGCATGAGGGGGCCTTGCTGGGAGGGCACAACTAACTTCTCTGTCATGACCTCTATAGCCAAGTAAGGAGCAACACTGATCATCTCCAAAGAGCCCATCCCATACCAAGGAAAGTCACCACCAGGAAAGAATCAGAGGCAAGCAAGTTTGTCCTAAAGACCCTGGGAAAACTTTAACAGCGGGTGTTTGGTGAGTTGGGGATGCAGGGGGGAGTTTTTGGCAGCAGGGAGTGGGTGGGTTTTAGAGCTTTGTCCTAGGGCTTGCATCAGGGTTTTGAAAATAGCAAGCTTGTCTCCAACAGTAGAAGGATTAGGCAGGATTAGAGGGGAATTGGGTTGAGTGATCCTGGATGCAGATTACAGAGTACAGAAGGGTTGCTTGCTGATCTCCTATATAGACATCCTGAGGCCTCTTCTCAACTAAATGAAAAGGTTAGGGCCCAGTTGGCTGCCAACCTATTGAGCTAACAGGAATCTGGGAACTGCCAGGTCCCAGACTTGGCTAGATCACGCAACACCAGGATTTGGGATGCCCAACTCCTTTATACTTCATTTGGCACATAATTAATTGTAGAGGCCAGCAAGTGGTTCACAGTAAAGTATAAATAGCTGTAAGGTAAGGAGAGGGGCATACGATTATACTGAAAATATGGCAAATCCAGGACTTTTCTAATAAACAGAGGCATCTGCTTGCCCTAGGAAGGGGTGAGGAAATCCTTGGAGCTGAAAAGCTCTGCTACCTGATACAACATTAGCAGAGACATGACTCTACTAAGAGTATTGACAACAAAAGAGTTGGCATTTAGGGTCTGTCTTCACTGCAAAGGTAACCAGAGTGACTGGTATCTGGGTCTCATCACCTGGGATAGGCTAACCCAGGCGAGACTATTCTGTATCCTCACTGTTTCTTCATTCGCACATGTAGTCTCTAGGCGCATATCTCATGGTTCTTTGTGGTGAAACACTATACGATTCTTTCCCAACCAGTTATGTCAATTTCAGGTGACTTGGAGGGAATTGTGGGAAGGCCCTCCAACCCATACCCACCCTGGTTTGGTAAGCTAGCCCAGGGTTAAAGCACCTACAAACTTAAGTAAAAGGATTTTCTGTGGTGGTAGGCTGGTGGTAAGGGGGATTTGGGCTAAGACTCAATTTCATTTTGCAGTGAAAACATATTTAGGAGTAGGAGGTTCAAAGACTCAGCTTTGTGTAACTCTGGTCCTGTCGAGCAGAATTAGGGCAAAGCTGAGCACTTTTGAAACTCCCATCCTGAACTGTTAACTTTTTGATTTCTTCAGAGTGCAGAGGGATGCAGAAGTACTTGGAAACAGCCTTTAACAATAGCAGCAAATGAAGTGTTCATTGACCCTGTTCATTTCAATAGCACATTAACTCAAAAATTCAGTTACGGCAGTTTAGGGTGAAATTTTTCAAAAGCACTCAGCTCTGGCCTAACTGGGCTCCCATGGAAGTCAATGGACTCCAGTTAACATGCTAGTGAGATGAATTGAAACAATTAACACATCTCTTGCTGCTGCTGTTTAAGGCTGATTATAGGCAGGCAACCCAGTATCACTTCACACTCTGAAGGCTTTCTTTGCAACTTCAGTGCCTTAAAACTTGTTTTTTTTTTATTTGAAAGCTCAAATTCTGTAGAAAACAGAATTCCAAAGATCCATGTACAGGCTTTAATTTCTTGCAATATGTGGAAATTCCACACACACTGATTTGGTGTCTGTGGTTTTGAGGCTGAATTCCAACCCAAGTAACTATAGTATCTCAGCCAGTGAGACTATTTCCACTTTAACCTATAAAACAAAAGAGTTATCTTAAATACATGCTGAAAAAACAGACAATGCAATTTGCAATGGTATTTAAAGAGCATGCATGTCCCTGCAAGTTCAGACCGCCAGAGGTTACTATGATCCTAATTTAACTTTATGGAAAACTTAATGTTGCACCAATTAAATATTAGTCCAACTGAATAGATGACCCTGAGTCCCCTATTCTGATAGTTTTTGCAGTGACTGCAGGTCCCAATATATAAACACCTCTGCATTAGCCCCATTTGCACTTAGAAGTAATTATTGTCAAATGCATTTAACTGGGGGGGTGGAAAGGAATATATCTATCTATATACTTAATCAACAGGCAGATTAGGCAGCAGTTCAAACCCTTCCTCCAGCATAAATGCAGAAGGGGGGCGAAAAAACAGAAGCTGATACTTGTATTTATATATAGGTATGGGTTGATTTCACCATTTGTTTTTCTCTGCCACTTTCTCTCTAGTCGGGACTGATTTTTCTTTTGCTCTTTATTTAGCTCAGTTTCACATCCCCAGCATGGTTCTTTATCCATATACATTGTCCTACTCCTGTCCTCCCCTCCCTCTTGGTTCCCCATCT